ATAAAATGGTACTAAAATTTCCTCTTTATCTATAATTAGTGCTTGGACTGCAAACGGCAATGTTTTATGCATTATGGCAGAGGTAAATATAACCACCTAAACATGAATATCCCAATGCTTATAAGGCTAAAATATTTTCTTGAATCTATTTTGTTAAGGTGCTATATGGAATATTAAATAATATCAAATTGGCTCTTACTCCCCTAATAGATGGTTGGATACCTATACAAAATACCAAGCAAAAATTCTTCCTCATCTGACTTAAGCCTAAAAACTTATTGACACTTGTATTTAGTAAGGGGGCATACGGGTGATAATAACAAAATGTTAGAACCTCACGTATAGGCAAGTATTTGCATGCTCCTTACTGCCTAGGTCAACAATCAAAGATTACATGATAACTTTTACCACCATAGTAATTATACTACCAGAACTGAGAAGGGTAAGACATTTTGAATTATTAATTCATTTGCTTATAAATTGGACCTGCTTCCGAGAGGTGTGATTTGCAAAGAAACTTGCAATTCTTTTAATGGTAATAAAGAGTGAACTAATTTACTTCTATGAATACCCGCAATTTTATTTAAAGTATAAATTAATTTGATGTCATACTTTATGTCCAGTTTTTCGGTAAGCACTAAAGACTTAGGGATCTACGTGGAAAATAAATAGGTTAGATAATTTAAACCTGCAAATTTTAATGGAGTCTTTTTCTTCTACTTCTTCTTTATTACGGCATAGGTAGACATAGGTATTAGACATAAGTCACTTCTGAAATTGTCATTGTTATCAAACGCAACAAGTATCTTCTTCGATGGTGCTGCTCCTCATTTGGGCCAGTAAAAAAGCACCAATAGTTGCCATAATGATGGCTGTAGAAGGATTTTGAGAGGAGGCCGCTCTATACTTATTTGTTGTTGTATCGTTGTTACTTCATCTGCGTTTTCTTCACTGCAGCCTGAATATCGCACAAACCGTCTATATCAGCGAAATAATATCTAGGTGTAATTCCAACGCCTACTGTTAGTGTCATCGGTAGGAGTACAATATTTCCACCATAAAGTGGAACCCTCCGCTTCTCGTGTCAAAACCATGCGCCGAAAATGGCGTTAATGTTGTTGGCATTCCGCCAATGAATACGATCTTTGAACCGGATCCGAAGAGAAACATTAAGCGACTCAACTTGTACGACCTTACAGAATTTTGATGCTCAAGCTTTGAATTAGAGCTTATCTACTCAGAATACATGAGTTAATGTGCGAGTGCATTGATGAAACACCACAATCTTCGCTGTTTCAACGATTCGCTGGCAGGAAAGCAAAGAACTCCACCATTGATTGATCAGGTGATATGATCTGCCATTAGTATCGGTGCAGCACTATGCTTGGGATAAAGCTTATTTCTTAACTGGACCTCCTTGATTACTAATCCAGTAAAAATTACTCGTTCCTCTGAATAACTAAGGCCGCCAAATATTCCGTTGGGGTTTACGTTACACAGCATTTGTAACTGCAGAATATCTCCGCAATAATTTATCCCTGGAAATAATAGGAACCACAAACTGTAATGACTTTGGCCACAAAGTCAAATGTTCAAACTTCACTGGGATTGCTCCACACTCATCCACTTCTATTCCATTTCTACTTCCCATCTGCCCGTCTTTTGTCGAGAAAAGTTGGTGAACATCGCTTAAGGAAGCCCCATTATGGAAATACGAAGAACAGGGACAGGGTAATTAGTTCACAAATACACCTATGAATCAAGCTGTACGAAGTGGGGTGTTCCCATTTAGGTAAAGGACTTCATTTCAAATAAGTTGCGGATCCCATGCTCCACTAGTGTAGGGAGTTAGTAGAACTAAAAATCTTTACCTCAAGTAGTTGAACTAAGCAGGAAATTTTTGCTAGTAGTGAGCTTTCACCCCATCTGCACTGCACCATCAACAAAGAATTGCAGTTTTGAATTGGTGCCACTGAATTGAGGAGGGAACAACAACTTGATGGCTTACTATTTGTTCCTTCGCTTAGCAAATATTGTAATGTCAAACCTTTTTTCATCATCAGCATTTCAAATAAGAGTGCTTTATAAAGTGTGCAAAATAAGTAGTTCTTCCTATTGTGCTTGCTGCAATGTTCTGCCTACTTTAAAGCACTTGTGCCATTCGAGACTCTCTGCTCTACGAGTGTGGTGTTGGTTCACAGGCAGTGAGTGCTTCTCGAATTAATGACGTAACATTTGGTAAGGTGCGGCAGCACAGCGAGTCTCTCAAAAGATGTAATCCAAAAAATTAATTATAGTGTTGAGGACTTTTGGTTTGGGCGTACAACGTTGCTGAACACCCTTTTTCACTAGACGTTCCACTATCGCAAATATGTTGTGACCATACCAGCTTATGCCATTGGAGCTAGTGGCCATTTAGGTCAGTAGTGGGCGTCCAGTCCACTCGGCGTGAACCAAAATGACACACAACGGTAGTGGCAGTACGCTCATAGAACGGAAAGTGGTGATACCGCTTGTAGTGAAAAAATATGCACAGAAGATTTGAAGGGTAGTAAGGCGATGGGAGGCTCAGTGAACTTGCAGCTACATTGGAAGTAATATCAGTTTTAGGAACTGTGAACCGATATTCGGGCCTGTACCCACTGGGTGTAGCTTAACTAACCGATTGCAAATTTGTGCAAAAGATAAACCTTCCTGCAAGAATAGTGTTTTTAGTTCTTTCGTGTTTTTAATATTGGCATTGACTAGGTACGAGGGGTGAAGGAGGTGGATCAAGGATCCCAGCAAATCAACAGGCTCTCTCTACTTTTATAAGGCATAGCAACACAAAAGTCCACTTGTATTCAACTGTTTAATCCTTTACTAATAGTTCATCCCTTAGCGTCAAGTATCAGAACTCTGGTAGCTATATCCTTATTCATTGGTACTGCAATAAACTATTGTTTATGCGCGTGAGCTTGTGTTCTGTCGAGCTGGCTACCGCGGCGAAGTTTCAATGAACGCGACTTCAATGCAGACGTTTTTTTACTCACGAATGAGTAAGCCAGGAGGCACAATGTGTGCGCACGTGGTAAATAGCTAGCTGTTTAGTTGCGAATGCAGCATACCGGACCGGGTGCGTCATCAGTCTCGCCTATTTAGAGCATTTGATGGCCATCAGAACACGTGGAATACGTGAAATCAGCCATTTATAAAGAGGAGGAAGAGAGCCCAACGTTCAAGAAATGACGGCGAACAGGACATCATCATGAAGACCATACACAAGGGTTGTTAAGAGTTGCAGAGGTGCCAGGCGTGTATTTTAATGTGGAAAAGTATGTCGCAAATTCTTGGCAACTCGTATTTTCTGGGTTGTAGTGAAGGCCACAGGACGGAACAATGGGCATCTTCTGTACATTTTATGTTGATTGGACACTATTTGCATAAATGTTGGAACTTGTATATACACAGCTTATGAGGCCACGTTTCGCCAAAAGAAGTAGAGAGGTTTATGTACGAGGGCCTTTCAGATCTCCAGAACGGAAGATTATCCTACATTGTCACAGTGCGCTGCTTTTGATCAGGTCAAGAGCGTATTAATGGGGAACACAACCAACGCTTAAAAGGAATGACTAGGCTTGGACTTTCAAACAAACCTGAAGTGTTGAAATTTGCTTTGCGAGTGCCTTGTTATAGGTGCGTTTCATGGGGATTTAATACATGAACGCAGCAGATAAGTGAGTTCACAACGCCGATGGCAACTCTTGATTGCTTAAAGTACATGCAGAATTTCTATGGATTTGATACCAAACTGTAGGGTAACTTCAAATCCTGTATCAGCTTGACTTGCCTAGACCCCCTCTTTGGGCCATAAACACGTCTGTGAATATGACATGAAACTGCTTATGTGATTCAGTGCTGAATGGGTCTCTACGGTTGCCAGCATTTTAGAAACCGTCCTACATATTGTCAATAAGCCCATGATTGGATGCATGGTGACGCAGCATCAAGCAATGTTAAAATAAAGAAGCGCATATTTATTCAAAAGACTCGGTCCATGCTTTCAATCTACTGATTTACTGATCCTATTGAAAATGACAAATGTTTCATGAGCTACAAGTGGCACAGTGAGGCATTTACCTTGTCGATTCAAGGAGTAAGTGGTGTGCTTACGTCAGCTTGTAAGCACTTCATCCGAATGAAGATGGCTATACAGTAAAAATGCTATCAACTTCAGAATTATACTGTTTATATGTGATTGTGCGCATTGTTTGGAGCTATCGATGAGTTGAGGGTTGAGAGCCGGTGAATGTTCTACCATAATAGCATTACATGGACTGAAGAAGGGTATGAAAAGTACTTACTGTGGCAGGCGGTTTTCCTATGAATGAAAATAGAGGTAGGATTTCCGGTCATCCCTCTACGCAGATAAAATTTGATTAAGTGTTGCGTTTACCTTTATTTTCCCTTGCGCTACCCACGAATTTAGGAATGGTTGAAAGCTAATATTAATTACTCATCGTTACTCTAAAATCTTAGGAAGTACACCAAAAGTTTGGGCTTACGATGACATGGATTCCAGCTGCCCTTATGTATTTGTAATATCTTCGAAACTATGCATTTTAACATGGACCCACCAGATCAAAGGACAAAGTAAATCACGATTTATAGACACTTGTGCACGATTGATAGGTTGCACAAAATTCGTTATTTTGATGCCAGACCTGTCCTTCCCTTTAGCGGTGGCAATCCATTATTAAATAAATGGCCTCTCAAATGCGTGTTTGACCAGTGTGTTCTAATGCAAAAACACCCTATCCGCTTCAGGCTCGCGTTTGATTCACAAAAATCTATTTTTATTACAAACTAACATTTAGTGGTGATTATCTCATGAAATTGAAATGCTCTACCCGCATACAGCGCCTCATCAGACTGCTGTAGTTGGTGGGTGCACCACACAACGTCATTAATATCAAGGCAACTGCAGCTTAACTTTAACAACAGTGGGAGCTCAAGTTGAAGTGTCTACTTCTTGTTGCAGTAAGTACCGTTGATGGTTCGAAAGTGGCACTAGACACATTCTTCAAACTAAAACCGGATGGAAATATCACATAACCAAATAATGTGTACAATTTTGCTTAAATTCGATAGGTAAGCATCGGAATAAAGCGCAGTTATTAGGAGTGTTTGAGTGCATAAATAGGGTGTCACTTCCTTCATTGTATCTGGAGTTGTCTTCAAGCAAACAAATAACTCCATTCTTAACTAGGTGTTATGATCTTGCCTGTGAGGAATAATGATTTATTCCGGAACTGGACTTTCTTGTCTTCTAACCCGGCACTAATACTAACCATTCTACTAACTAAATAAAGCGGCCAAGTAAGTTACCATAATTGTCAGTGTTAACAATTGGTTAGTGCCGAAAAATGCCTAAATAATTTTATCTGAGAAACTCATCATAACTATAGGCTGCAGGTTTTTATTTCCCAATTTAACAGGTCTTGGTCTTCCAAAACCACCGGAAAGTCGAAAGCTACACACCTGTTCTTAGACACCGCCACTTCTCAACTGCCTATTTTATCTCCAATGTGATTGTCATATGCCAATGAAATTTGGTAAACGTCGTTTGAAGAAAAATAGCCTAGGGTAAGGAGAATAAGGATGAGTCAGCTACTCCATCTCATTCAACAATGCTACAGGTAGTCGTCTAACAAGTACATTTTTGAGACATGCGTTATTATGTTTAGCGATCTCTTGGAAGAATAGGATTTCAAGCCAATTAATTCACTGATCCTGTGCTCTGGCAGCATCAGGTTTAGTCGAGTTAAAGTGTCTGAGCTTCAATTGTTTGACCATTAGCAAAAATACATGACCAATATTGAGGACCAACCCCATCTGTATTGCACCGCAAGCAGCGAATTCAGGAGCTGAAGTGATCTTAGTAGTAGAGAGTAAGGAATGGATAGTTTATGACTAACGAGTAATGTTTTTCCATTGCTTTGCGGATGTTAAAATGCAAAGTCATTTCGTATCACAATGCACTTTACTGGCAAATACTTCAAAATGGCGTGTAAGGAGAGAACAACTAGTGACCATTCATCGAAAGTTGCTATCACTTTGAAAGAAATGGGGTGTGAATTCCATTTGTGAGCACCTTAGATTCCATGAATAATATCTCTCTGCAATTGGCGTAGGTGTGAATCGTGCAGTTCATCATTTACTCTGAAGAAATTTTGATGCGTCCAAATGCCATGCATCACCTGAATTAGTGCGCCAAATCTCAATGCCGTCCACATTTCGTCCAATACCAAAAATGAAAAGCATTATTTGAGACCTATTTTCCTTAGCCTGTCTTCAACAAACACACTAGCTGTAAATGCATTCACACATTGAATCCGAGTCACTTTTACCCCACTACATTCCATAATTGGTTCGTATTATTGAATGGAAAAGTGTGGAGCTGGGTGTGTGCATGCCGTTTCATCGTTTCTTTACCTGTTTCTGGTAATCAAATCCTTTTATGAAAGCTGTCTTTTTAGCAGAGCCTTTTAATAGCAATGATTTTTTGGGGTAGGGAAACCCACACTTTCTGCACTTTTAATGAATATCCCGGTAAAAAAAGTCAAGGCATAGGTCGTAAACTACTCAAGATTTGTTCAAGAATAGCTACCAAAACTGGATAATTTACTGCCGACTAGTTACATACTCTGTTTCGTTAATATGACCATTGCTTCTCAGAGGTACAACTGTATGGAACCAGGAAGCGCAAAAATTATCTGTCCCTTAGCACATTGGTTTGTAAGGCAATTCACATTGCTTTCGAGGAGTTCGTCTTTCTTTGCAGCATTCATAAGTGCTCATTCAGATGGTAAAAGCATGTAAGTGCTCACAATTAAGCTCTGAAGTCACTGGATCTGACGTCCATCCGGTAGCATAAGGTTCAGTAGAGCTCAAGCTGTCGTGAGTCTTAAGCATAAGTAGACTCAACACGTCTAGTCAGCTAATTTGTGAAAATCACTATTAGAATTCTATTTTTATCCCTCTTAGCCGTGTGTACAACCAACTGAACTCGCTACGAGATCACCGCATCTGCCACGTTGGCACACATTATCATTGGATAACGCTACGAGGGAGCGACCGACCTGTTTTCCTAGCACAGGCACCGTGGGCAACTAATGTGCATTCCTGCTTACACAAGGCCTATTTTTCTCACTTCTGCAAAATTAAGTTTTGTTGTGAGGCCTAGATGCCTCTCACATGGGTCTTGGTGTACACGAAAGCAGTTAAATAATTCACTCCACGGAATAGATAGGGCATAGTTGTATATTTGCAGACCCTTAACGCCTCAACAACATGGAATTAATTTTGTTTCACTGAAAGTATGAAACGGTATTAATGGCCTGGCTTTATTTGTATTACGCTTTCCTGAGTTTGACGATATGACTTCTTTCATGTTAGCGACGTACACTTCATTAGAGCGGAAGTGGTGCTCTGCACATGCTTTTTTCTTTGCCAAAATTATTTTAAGCTTCCAAATTCGTAAAATGTCTTTTGTGACATTTATAGCAGTCACAAAAATGGTCGCTTATTCTTAGGTAAGTTAATAAAATTCCATGGAAGAGATTTAATGTGATGATTATGGCTCAGCCAAAATCACCAATGTTGCCTCATTACAGTCAGAAGATACTTCAGTTACGTTTTCATCAACAAATGAATGCCGCCATCAGCAGCCCAATTTTATTATGTGGTGTCGATAAACAGATTTTGCCAAATATTCACTAGCAGCGTGAAATAACTGCCACAGCTACAAGGAACCCCTGAAGTAAGACCCTCTACCACGTAAAGGTACGATTTGAAATTCATGCAGCTTCACACTAGAAGTTGGTGTAAAGTTAGTGCTGGTACTGTGGATACCTCAAGAAAAATACGAATGCTAGAGAATTTTTGCCTCCCAATGATGATTATTTGTTCTGGCCATGTGCTCAGCACTTCTGACTAAACTCCTGCCTATATCAAATACCATCAAGCTGATTGGAGCAGGAAAAATGTAGATCACGAAGTGGTAGGACTACGTCAGCTTTCAAGCACTACTACAGAATAAAGATGACGGCAACAATTTCACTGGAGGGGGTGACAGGAGGTTAGCCTCTAAAGTAAATGAAAAGCATACTTTTCAATGCATGCCCTGCCGGGATGAATTTACTTTGTGAGTAGCAACTCAAATTTTCCCTGAATTCCCATGATACCATAAA